CCATTGTCAAGGCCAACCCCATCAGCTGCTCACTCAGTAAGTGCTCCTCATTCCTACAGCTCTTTTAGGCTGTTGCCACATAGCAATATATCTCAAATAAATATTTTGGGCAAGCTGCCACATCAAATTCTTTCTGTTGTGGGTGGTCCTCGAGAACAGTAGGGTCCTGTCAGTATTACCAGGCTTGATAATAGTGTTTACAACATTGGGATTCAGTGGTTTAGATTTTTTTTACTGTGCTCTAAATTGCTTGTCTAGACAGATTTGCAGTTCCAATCTCTTTAAAAGTAAGACTTTGACTTAGTGCTATGCCACTGATATACTCAATCAGTGGATTACATCGTTCTTGTTAAAAGCAATCTTGCCCTGAACTGCTTCTTTTCCTCTTAATGTAGTACTCTTGGTGACTGGCTGCACTTTTTTTTTTTACTGAAATAATGTCCCCTTTGCCTGTACAAACACGCATGAGACTAGTGCAATAACTGAAATGTTTTATAAGTAAGGGTTGTTCACATTTTCAAGACTGTGTAGAACATTTTTAGGTCAGTAGAGCAGACTCAGTAGAGCCAGTCAACATTTCACTCATTAACTGAGAGCAGGAGCTATCAAAGGCCACAATCTTATTATTAAGGAAAGTCTGTCCAGATAAAATATTATAGCCTAGACTTTCACCAATGACTGCTTGTGTCCAAATTGAGACACTTGAATTGTGTCTGATTCTCAGCAAGTGCTGAGCACCCACCCTGTGAAAGTCAGGGCCCTTTAAAATGCCTTAATTTGGACATCCAGCATTTAAGGCACCCAAGATCACTAATGACTTCCTGTCTGTGCATACAAATACACATTCTTGTTTACTCATGTTTCTTAAAACTACCATGTTTTTTAAACCTTTATTTTAAACCTTATTCTTCTTGTCATATACCCATCTTATCTAGCTTTGTATTTTCACTCTGCTTGGATAACAAAACTAGATTGATCATTTTCACTTTTGAAACTCAATGGGGAATTTGCCAAATATGCAATTTTTTCTAATATAAATCCTATATTCTAGAAGTAAATATTTCCTCTTGCATTATACACACCTGGAGAACTTGGTATGTTTAATTTTATTGATGCTCTAGTCACTTCCTGAACAGGTCACTCAGTTTCCCAAAATATCCATTGTCCCACCTTTTCCAGCAGAGTGCAGGGGACGTGGTCCTTGTGTTGCTTAATAGGGTAGTATTTGATTTACCCAGCAAGCAGAAAACACAGTCACCACTAGAGAAAACTGAAGGCCTGAGTGATAATGCAGTTTTGACTTTCTCAGGGACTTACTGCAGGGTTTTATTTGCAGTAAGTGTAGACCAGGGATCTCAAAGTCCCAGCCCACGGGCATAGGCGCCGACTCTGTGGGTGCTCCAGCCCTGGGGCACCCATGGGGAAAAATTAGTGAATGCTCCACACCCACCGGCAGCCAAGCTCTCCCCTCCTCACCTCCTTCTCCCCCCCCCCCCCCGCCCCAGTGCGCCACATCCCCGCTCTTCACACTCCCTTCCAGTCCTGATGCCAAACAACTGTTTGGCAGCACTTAAGACTTTCCGGGAGGGAGGGGGGAGGAGTGGGGATGCGGCGTTCTCAGGGTAGGAGGCGGATAAGAGGCGAGGCAGTGGCAGGGACTCGAGGGAATGGGGTGGAATGAGGGCGGGAAGGGGGTGGAGACTTTGGGGAAGGGGTGGAATGGGGGCAGGGCGAGGGTGGGGCAGGGGCAGGGCCAGGGTCAAGCACCTACCACAAAGAAAGGAAGTTGGTGCCTATGCACGCAGGCCATCTGCGGCCCGAGAACCTTCCCACCGTGGCCCGTAGAGGAGAGACGCATGCCCAATGTCTGGTGCAGGTGCTGCCCCTCTGCAGCTCCCATTGGCTGGGGGGGGGAGGGACAGAGATACCATCACTAGGCACTGGGCAAAGTCAGCCATGGAGGCAGCATCACTAGTTGCTGGGCAGAGTCATCCCTGGAGGCAGCGTCCCTTTTTTCCACAATTAATTTAAACAAGTCAAAATACTGAACACAACTATCTGATGCACAACTTGCTGCAATCCTGAAGGTTTCAACTGCTCAGTCACTGAGGCCAAACATCAACAAACTGACAAAACTGAAGTGTTGCCAGGTGTCTGGCAAACACTAAAAACTCTCTGGCAGGCGAAGAATTGTATAAAGTTGTATGACAGTTTTACTATTTCTAAGAAATTTGAAATAAAAAATACAATATAAACATTTTCTTTTCTGAACACCATCTTCAGTGACATTATTGGCCTGCTGGGAGGATTTGAGGACTGGCACTGGCCATAAGGTAAATTGAGTTTGAGAACCCTAGTGTAGACATACCCTGAGGCTGCAGTCCTGCAAGCATTTAGGCTTTGTCCTCACTGAGGAAAAAAGTATGTTAACTCACTAGCTACCTCAAGAAATAATCTTAGTGAAGACAAAGCATCTTGTAGTTTTCATATAGGTTAATAGATCAAATTAAAGGTTAAATGGCCTCTGTGCTTCCTTCTGCACCAGTGAAATGAATGGTAGAGCATCCATTGACTTTGATGGGGCAGGATTAGACACTAAAACACAGTCCCTTTGCTCACATGAGTAAGCCAGTGGGACTACTCAGGTCCATAAAACTAAGCATGTATATAATTACTTGTGTCTCTAGATGGATGTAGGGCTAGAGAAAGAATGTTATTAATTTCCTTATCTTGCCAAGACTTAATTTGATATCTCGAGAGAGAATGTCAGTCTGTCCCCCTCAAGTGTTGAATTGAACAGGGGGTTTCCCAAAGGCCTATAGGCTTTCGCTCACGTGTAATATTTATCATGTATTGTTAGCTTTAATGTAAAGCTGTACAAGTAGCATACTTTAGATCTTTAGATCTTTTAATCTATATAAATGGTCATTTATGAAAAGATGACCAAACCATGTCCATTCCTCATTTTTTTCAAACAAAGTTAATATGTATAACACCAATGTCTCATTGCCAGTTGCAGATGTCTTTTATACTGGTTGTGAATATTCAGTAGTTTATATTCTATGAATTGTTTAACACAACTATGAAACAACTAACTAATGTAGAAAGACTGTTTAGTTTACAAACTGAGCAGGTTCAATGGGCATAAAATGTAGGAAATATTTTCCATATAATAGTGTACTCAGAAAGATAGACAAGGTATTCAGTTCCAATGTACAGTATGTGAATTTCATAAATAAGAGAAACCTTCATTTTGGGTTGTTTTAAGTTATTGTGTAACATTTTCAAAAGCACTATGGCCCAGCTCCTCAAAGTGGCTCCTAACTGCCACTGAGGGGAGAAAGGATGACCCAGCAGTTGGGGCACTGCCCTGAGACATAGGAGACCCATGTTTAATTCCTTGCTCTGCCATGGACTGCCTGTGTTGGACAAGTCACTTCGGCGGGTCTATGCCTTCGTTTCTTATCTGTAAGGGATCCCAGAGAAGCTAGGGACTGCTAGGATAATATCACCCATTGAAACATCATGAAATGATGCTCCTATGACTGAGTTGGTCACAGAATACATGGACATAGAACTGCTATTGAAATCAGTAGAGGTTAGGAGCCTACATAGCTTTGAGGATCTGGGCCTAAGTGACTTCGAAGTCCTAATGGGACTTAAGAGATAAGTCATGTAGGTGCTTTGGAAAATGTATCTCTAGTCTTTTTCTAACAGTCATTAACAGCATCCTACATACAGTACTGTTTTTAATTAAATTTCTCACTTGTTTTTCTTCACAAAACAACAGAGTGATCTTTTAATACACAGTGCCTTTTGTACAACTGCTATCTGCATTCCTAAAACTTTGGCAAAACTTCTGCTGGAGTTAGAATTCAAATCTACTAACCCCAAATCTCTTACTGAAATGTAACTATTCCTTCCAAGAGAAGTTTGAAGAAATGTTCCAAACAATAGGAGACGCCAAAATTCATAGCTAGTGCTCGCATGCCTTAACTGTGTTTCTACTGTCCTTGAGGAATCTGGATCACTTTTCTCTCAATGTTTCCTTTTCAGCACAGTCAAAATAGGAAAGACCTGGCAGTGTTGCCAAGTGCTACAATTGTGGGGTTTCCTCTATGGTTTTTGGGGTCTGGCTTGTGATTTTTTTTTAAATGCTTTGGAGTTGGCAACCCTGACCTGGGTGACCTATTACTACCTTAGCCCCTAACTCAGCAAATCCTTATGCACATGAGTAAATTTAATCATGTGAAATAGCCCCATTGAACTCAGTGGAATGACTTATCTACATAAAGTTACTACTGTGCTTCTGTGAGGCCTTGCTTCCCAATTTCCATAGAACATAGCTTGTTGTATCTTACAGGAGGTGTGGTATGAAGAATGCTCATTGTTTCCTGGAGGGTGAAGTAATTATTTTAATGATGATGATCAGTGTGAGAGGGGTTGAAAATACATATAAATATTAGTATGTAAATGTCAGAATCAACTATTTCTAAACACGTATGTACAAGTGCGTGCACACAAACACCATAACATGTAGTATGCTTTGTAGTGTTCCCTGCTGTGCCTTTGAATGAAGATTCAGAACAGTGAACAACTGGTTTCTGTGCTGACATATGCAGAGAGTTAGGATCTTTCCTGTCTCATCCTTCTGATGTAAGTCAGACTTACAATGAGATTTTAACATTGTATTTTATGTAAAGGAGCTGCTATGCTGTACTATGTCTGTGGGGTGGCAGTATCTGGCATATGTCACTATATAGCTTTTTGTCACATGGCATCTTAAAGGAACTGCAGGAATCATTAGGATCTATTTAGTGGTTGAATTAAGTGGGTGCACAGCTTTACCTCTATCTTACTTACACTACAGGAACATCCTTAGATCATATTTGGCCAACAAATGCAAATATATATTCACTCCTGCTGGTTTAAATAAGACTTCTGATATTGGAATGTTTCTTTATTGAATAGCTTTTTGGAATGCACAAACAAAACAACGTTGTAAAAACTCTCACTTCCAAATTCTACACAAAATAAAGAGAAGTTCTGAAAGATATTTGGAAAACATTACACAATCTAGATTCAAAGTCTTCACCGTAAGCTTTCATCTTCCTACAAACACAGGATTAGAAATCACCAGACTGGAGGTCCACCTAGTCCAGTATCCTGTCTGTGAAAGGGATTCAAATAAAATGCTTTGGAGGACTCCAAAGCCCTTTCCACTAATACACACTGTTCCTGCAAACTTCCAAAGCCCCTATGCACAGATTCCCTCCATCCTCTAAAATCTCTTCCCACTATCTCCTCCTCCTCCAGCATAATCTGTGTGTCCTCCCACAAAAATCCAAAGCCCCTTTACAGATCATGTGAGTCTTCCTAAAAGCATCAAAGCAAACAAAACTGTTTGGAAATAATGCAAATTGTTTTATTTGTAAACATCAAACAGCTGCACCATCTACAAGCTCAGTTTAAAGAAGCAAAAGCAGCCGTAGCATCCCATCCCTCTGTAACTGATCCAAAGCCCATTGAAGTCTTTGGAAAAACATTGACTTCAATGGCCTTTGGACCAGGCCCTTAGCAAACTTCTTCAGTAAGCATGCTGGGCCAAATTCATCCAGAGCTGACTTTAGCCCCCAGAATTCTAGTGTATGAAGCTAGGATTCACAATTTCACATGGTCTAAAAAGTTGATTTTGTTAGGGGCTCTTCCAGTTCCTTTTCAGGTAGGTCGGAAATGTGTTCAGGAACACCTCTTGAAATCTGTCACTGTGGAATACCCACAACGGAATGAGCTGCAGGATGCACGCCTTCCAAACAGTGAAACAAAAGCAAAACCAAAAAAAAGTCATTACAGGCAGCTAGAAAGAAATCAAATCAGTGTTCATGTAGATTATAATAATTAGCATTGAAAATTTTTGTGATACTGCTACAGTCAATATTTCGGGGTGGGGGGGATTTTTTTTCAGTTTCCAACTGATCGAATCTACTCATCTCAGTGCTTGTACTAAATTCCCTTCATTAACAGCTGCCATATGTAAGTACCTATTCTAGCTTGTACCTAACTCCCACTATGGTTAATTGGTGACATATATAAGCATCAACAATTCACAATCAGCATTAAGCCTGTACAGAATTTTTCATTTGGGGCCTGATCCAAAACCCCAGGAAATCAAAGGGAAGACTCCAGTTGGCTTCAATGGGCTTTGAATCAGTCCCAGGGAGCCCTGTAATAATTATTAAATTTAATTACCAAGATCTCATGGGCTAAACAACCAAATGTCTCCTCTCCAACAGTAACATAAATCAGTGACTCTCTAACAAACTCCTCTGCAGTCTTTGTTATGAGATTGGGTTTTTGATACATTGTCATTGGAGTAGAAACAGCATAAGGAGCCACCACCTGAAATAAAAGATCGTTATTGACAATAATTAGTGCCTTTCATTTAGAAGGGTCCTTAACACATTATAGAAGGTACATGGAGCATCAGTGAAAGGGCAGCCACCTCTGGTCTGAAATGAGGAGAGGAAGCTTTTGTTTCACACCAGTGAGGAGGAAATTTTAGCAGGGACACTGGGACACCCAACGCTTCCACACGGATGTCCAGCACTTCATGGGATTGGGCTCTCCCAATCCCATGGGATTGGGACTTCAAATATTCATGAAAATGAAGGCAAATAACAAAGATACTATATCACCTGTATGATAATTCCCTTTGCCTTATATTCTGCTTGAAGTGCTTTGGAAAATGTGCATACAAAAGCCTAGAATTACAAAATTGAATAAACTTAGTCATAAGGAAATGAAATTACTTGTGTGCACACATGCATGCACACATACCCCTTACCAAAATGACCCAAATATCATCCTGGCTAAGGCCCAAATATGTGTGCAAAACCTAGTTACTTAGTGCATCCACATTTAGAAAAGAAGGGCCTGAGTCTGATCCCACAGGACTCTTCTGCACAGAAAAAGTTGTGCCCACATTCCAGCACAAGTCAGACATGAAAAAAGCACTAGTGTAACAAGGGACTCAAAAGTATCCCAGGTTATGAAAATGCAGTTTTGAGGACACAGTGGTAAAAAAGTCTGAGCTGTGTCTACACTAGCTGCTAGCACAGGTGCAGTTGTACCACTGTTGGAATATAACACATTCTTCTTTTGACACATGTGCTGAGACATCCACCCCACACCAGGCCTGCAGGGGGAAATTAGGCCTATAGGCTACACCTGGAGGAAACCTAGGGTGTGCTAGGGCCTACTTGCAGATAAGTCCAGCTGGGGGGAGGAGCTGGGCAGGTGGGGTGGGTAACCTGCAGTTGCATTTCCTGATATAAGGGTAGGGTTGCCAGGCATCTGGTTTTTGACTGGAATGCCTGACCACTAAAAGTCTGGTCGGCAGTGCAGCGCGGCTAAGACAGGCTGCCTGACCTGGCTCTGCACGGCTCCCAGAAGCAGCCAGCATGTCTGGTTCCTAGGCACAGGGGCGGCCAGGGTGGTTTCGCATGCTGCCCCTGCCCCTAGTACCGGCTCTGCAGCTCCCTTTGGCCAGAAACTGCAGCCAATGGGAGTCGCGGGAGTGATGCCTGCAGGCACAGGCAGCGCGCAGAGCCCCCTGGCCCCTCTGCCTAGGAGCCAGATATGCCAGCCATCTCCAGAAGCCGCCTGAGATAAGCACCGCCCAGCCAGAGTCCACACTTTGAAAAAACCTTCCCGCATCCCAACCTCCTGCCTGAGCTTGGAACCCCCTCTTGTACTCCAAACCCCTCATCCCCAGCCCCACCTCAGCCGTGAGCCCCCTCTCGCACCCAAACTCCCTCCAGGAGCCCACACCCCCTCCTGAACCCAACACCCCATCCCAACCCCCAGCCCAGCCCAGTGAAAGTGAGTGAAGGTGGGGGAGAGCAAGCAATGGAGGGAGGGGGGATGGAGTGAGCAGGGGTGGGACCTCAGAGAAGCGGCATGGCAGGGGTGTTTGGTTTTGTGCCATTAGAAAGTTGGCAACCCTTCGCAAGGGGGAAGAGTAGAAGTGTGGCTCTGGATTGAGATCCAAATTTCTGATGTTCATGGACCCATATTGCAAAATTCGGATCCACAGATGGAGCTAGATCCTAATGTACCCATAGTTCAATATTGTTCCTGCTGGGACCATCTCTAGTCTGGAAATTCGGGGCCTGATTATCTGCCTTGCGCCTTGTATAGTATTTACTCCTGTATAAACTGAGCAAAAACTGGGTGTAAAATACTATCAGGTCAGAATTCTCCACTCATTTACATCAATGGTAAAGTTTTACACCCACTTTGCACAGATCAATGACTATGCAAAGTGCAAGAAGAGAAGACGGATGGTTTGGTTTTTAGGATACTAGCCTAGGACTAGATCTGGGTCCGAGTCCCTGCTCCACCACAGATATCCGTGTGACACTGGGCACATCACAGCTTCTCCGTGCCTCAGTTTCTCATCTATAAAATGGGGATAATAGAGAAATGCTATCTTACAAGGGTCTTATGAGTATAAATATATTAGAGCGTGAGGTTCTCAGATATATGGCATGTTTCCATAATATGTACCTAAAAAGAGACATGCGAGTGGGTCATCAGAAATTTTTAGATAATGCTGACCAAGTTTTTTCAATCTAAAAATATTTGATTTCACTTTTGAGTAGAGCCATGAGAAACTTAGGCAACCAAAAAACCCCACCTAAAAACTCATGTTTCAATGTAGCTGAAACTTGGGCTAGATTTGTGTGAGTTTTGTCTGTGTTTTGAGAGAGCTGGGGTGGAATGTCAACCAAACAAGAGCTGAGGCCTCAGTGTTTTATGGTTTTGAATGGAAATGATCAAAGTGAATCCTATCAGTATGAAGTTAAAATGTTGGGAGTTTTAACTCAAAGTGAAGCCTCCAAATGAAAAACAGGCAAGGCAACCCCTGCCTGCTGATCGTGGAGTGGCGGAGTGAGGGCAGCTGGGGAGCTGACCCCGCCCGCCCCCCACGTGTCTCCCATCTCCATCCTTCCACTACACAAAATTTTACCCTCCACTCTGCAAGCAGAATCTGTCACGTCTTGTGCATCTTCAGTCTTGAGTAAACCAGTTAGCCTGTGCCTACAGAAGTTCACCATTGCCCTATTCTTTGCCTTAGTTTGGAGGGATACTGTGAATATTGTGTTATTTAATTGTATCTGAAAATATCAACATTATAAGTCAGAGCTAGTGTGTTTTGGGTGAACATTTCAGCAACACTGATTTACAAAGCAATAAAAAAGACTTACTTTAGAAGCCGAATATATAGTATATAATGGACAAGGGAAGGTGCCCAAACCAGAAGAAAGGTTCAGAATAAGTCCTTTTTGTCTGAAATTCAAATTAAATTGTTACATTAAATTTGCCTTTTGCTATATTACAGTAGGATCTGGGTCCTGCATAAGATTCAAACTGCAGTCTTTTTCTCTAGAAGGCAGAACTCTTCTATTATACAAACAGAATAGGCTACATTCTCAACGAGAGTCTTTAGAGCTTAATTAGGTACCAGCAAATACACAGACAGAAAATTTTAGAAGTGCAACTTAAGCGAATAGTGCAACTGGAACCATGGGGAATTTTGTTCCTGGTGTTGTACATCTGAACATGAATATTGTCAGATATTTGAAAAATTCAGAGAAAAGAATTTATGCTTATAACTCTCCTTAACTAAACCATTCCTCTTCCCACTTCCTTCATTTGGGCCTTAATTTTCCCTATATGTAGTAAAAAGCATCTCTCAGCTATTTTCATAATAACCAAAGGGAAAACTAGTAAAAGGTAAAAGTTTGTCTTGATTGTTGCTGAAACAAAAGTTTACTGTATCCTAAAATAAAAATTTTCTCCTCACCCTTTTAAAATTCTTACAGATGGAAATTTAGTTATCAAAATTATGTCTTAAACATGTTCCCTTGAAACAGATAAGAAAAGGAACCTTTTACTTATGGAGCTGAATTAATTGCTCTTAGTAAATCAAGTTATTGTAACTTATCTTTAACACTTAAATACTATTATTCCAAACTCTACAGCTACCTTTAGAAAATACTAATGTGTGCAAAGGTATTTGCATGCCTAATTAGTCTCATAATAGGCAGGTTTACATATGTTATACAAGCATATTTTTTTTGTAAACTTAACCCAGTATATTACATCTTCTGATCTGCCCTATATTTTACTTTTTTTGTTACAGTTTCTACCATTTGTTCACACAGCAGCAGGAGAAATAAACTATACTGAGCATCGACCCACCAGGAACTTGAGTAGTTATTGCAGAACTAATTGGAGCTAGCAAATATTTGCTAGAATTAGAACCCACAGAAAGCTAAAGGGAAAAAATGGAGTTTTACCTTGGCTCCATTTGTTTCAAAATTATCCGTGTCATCTACAAGAAATAAAAGGGCTATGAGTTACATTCCCTCTCCCTGTGCTTTGTGTCTCTTTTTGTTTTTGTTTTGTATGGTTTGGGGTTTGTTAAACAGAGAAAATGTGCTAACACATTAAGTTCTGAAAGCACAGGGGGTCTGAGCCAGAGCAGCTAGGTTAAAAAATATACGTTGAAATGTTGGGGAAAGACTAGAAATGTTACTGGCACATATTAGAACACATTGCGTTGAACCGTTGTCCAAAGTTTCCAAGGGTCAGTTTGACATGCAACGTTCTCTGGCTTATGCAAATCTTTTCCAAACTATCTGAATTTCATGAGCCTGCAATATTGGATCAAATATCTCAATCTGTTTCTTGGTATTTCAGCATTTCCACTTCTGGTCCCAACTAGGATCAGAAAGTGCAAAAACACAACGTTTTCCCAACTTTTTCAAGCCGCAGCGTAAAAGCTTTAGGTTCATTTTGAATTTCAAAGGTTGGGGTTGGATCTTAATTATTCAGTCACCCACCTCTCTCACTCTAACCAGGGCCGGCCCCGGGCACCAGCTTAACAAGCAGGTGCTTGGGGCGGCCAAGAGAGAGGGGCGGCACCAGGGGCAATTTGGGGGCAGCAGGTCCCTCACTCCCTCTAGGAGCGAAGGACCTGCTGCTGAACTGCCGCCGCCAATCGCGGCTTTTTATTTAATTTTTTTTCCAATTGCCGCCGCCGGTTGCGATCGCGGCTTTTTTTTTTCAGTCCATCCCTATTTAGTGAAGCACATATGCACATGCTTAACATTAAGCGTGGATTTGAGTCCCTTTGAACTCAATGGGACTCCTCGCGTGTTCAAAGACTTATACGTGTGCTTAGCTTTTAAGGAGTAGAGCCTTGATAGACAACTTACAAAGAAAGGAAAGGGTAGCAGTGTAAACTAGTGCAGATAAACATACTGGTGCTTAGTTCCAGGCCAGTAGCATGAAGGGGGTGAGAATGTGCATGCAGGGGGTTAAGCCTCATTTTCAAATTGGAATTTATGGAAGAAAGGATGGAGGCATCTCATGTCCAAGTGGGTGAAGGGAGAAGGTGCCAATCATAGCGTGCAAAGTGGGAAAAGGTTGAGAGATGAGTGGCTGGAAGACATCAATATGGAAATTTGCCATGAAGTTTCACTGGAACAAGGAGGGCAGAAGAGAGAGACTACAGTATCAATGAAAGCAGATGCCACAGGGGACATCCTGCCCCTATCAAATACAATGGCAAAAATCCCATTAAATTCACTGGAGCCAGGATTTCACCCCAGAATGTTTAGAGCTTGCAGGAGGTCAAGAGCTTACATATGGTCAGGACAAAAATCGAGAAACCAGCAGAAACATTTGAAGAGAGGATGGATCTTGTCCGAGACATGGTTAATTCTTGTACCACCATTTGGAATAGACTGAAGGGGGCAAGTGGCTTTGAGAGACGCCAAAGAGGTGGAGGTTGCAGTAATCAGGGGAAGGCATCATCCAGGCCTGGAAAGGGAATTATTGTGGTGGAGGGGTAGAAAGGAATAGGCAGATTTTGTGGAAGTTTTATAGAAAGAAATGGCAGAAATAAATAGTTTATTTTAGTTGAACAATATGAAAGGATTTATACTTCAAACCTTGAATAAATCAATCATTTGCCTAACTAGCTAAAACTGCTTATTTTGGCTTGTCCAACTTCTACACACTTGAATTTAGCCTTTTAGCTGCCCTCCTCCCCCTCTCCCCCCCCTCCAAGAATTGTTTTGGGATGCGTGCTCTCCTTTAAAATCCAGACACCTTTAAAGAAGAGAGATTCTTTGGTAAGCAGTCAAAGCAATTCTCAGAGCAGAGCCTTTGAGAAAGTATGTGGTGTGATCAAACAGGTCAAATTGGGGGAAGGTAGGTATGTTAGATATGGGGAGGAAACTCAACAATTAAAGAGGAGAGTCTGTCAATAAAGGCCTCTCATGTCATGTTTATAAAGATATTAGCTAAGGTTGAGATGAACTATGAAGCATTTAGTTGTAGCTCAGGTTAACATGTTGCCCCAAACAGTAGAGCAACAAACCTTAATCAGAGCTGGGGAGGTGGTGAAATACTAACTGTGCTTGAAAGGGAAGGCGCTAATCAAAATTAGAGCTGGCCAGAGAACTGTTTTGTTTTGAAACAACTTATGAGGTTTTGAAATCTGTCTTCAGAAGGTTTGGTCAATCTGCAATGAATGTTTTCACAAGGTGGAATTGCATCACATCCATTTTAGAAGCAAAAAGGTCAGGTTTTCAATCTCTCTCTCTCAGGCCAGTGTGGACGAGAAGCTTTCCTGTCAAAGGTTTTGTCAAAATTGTTACATTTTTGCAAAATGTTTTGGCTTTGCTAAAACAGCCTATTTAGACAACCAAAAATATTTTGTTGAGAACTTTCTGACCAGTTCTAATCAAAATGTTTCACACGTATCAGAACCTAGCATGTTAATTAGACTTAGGGTGACCAGATGTCCTGATTTTATAGGGACAGTCCCGATATTCAGGTCTTTTTCTTATATTGACACCTATTGCCCCCCACACTCTGTCCCAATTTTTCATACTTGCTGTCTAGTCATCCTAATTAGACTCCTAAAATAATGCTTCCGATATGACTCAGGATGAGCAGCTAAGATTGAAGCCAGCCAAAATGCAAGGACATAAGAAAACTCATTGTCACTGTTTGAAACAATATCTTTCTCTGGTATAAATACATTTATTTCTTTGTACACTGAATGTGTATGGTACATACCTTGGTAACAGAGATAATGTTGCAGCTGATGAGGTTCTGTTGGAAACAAGAAACAATGCAAATGTAGACCCATTTTGAGAAGTCACTTAGCTGGCATTTATAACATGAGGGTTCAGTTTGCAAAGACTTCTAACAAAACATCCAGGGTAAAAATAATTCAAAAGGAGGCTGCAAAAATGCATGCATATTTACCAAGACTGTCCATGCAAATAACTATTTTCCTGCACAATTATCCAATTTGTCATTGCATGTTCATTTGTAAGTATGTTTATTTAGGGCCCAATTCTCCTCCCACTGAATTCAACAGTGCAACTTTCACCAACCTCAATGGCAGGGCTGGCCCACAACATTTTGGCAACTGAGGCGGGGAGCTCAAATGACGCCCCCATGCCCCCTCGCTTGGGCCAAAACTTTGAAAGGTCTCAATTCTGCCTTCTTCCTGTTCTACTCCTCTCATGGTCTTGCTCTTCTACCTACCCCAATAAAGGAGAACTAACAACTTAAAATACCTTGTTCAAAAATTTTAAGTAACACTTAACCTTCAAACGCCTGAACAGCAAATGTAACTTTTCTTGTCTTCATAGTAAACACTAGCATTTTTATCTGTTTGAATAATCAAAGTGGTGCTTTCTGTGCCTTCTTGGTTGCAAAGATTTGAACTGCTTCCTGAAGGTCCACAGTCTGGGCCAGCTCATGCTCTATTGAGATGGTTGCAAGGCCGACCAGCCTCTCCTGTGTCGTTGTGGAGCGTAGATGTGTTTTTATTAACTTCAGCTTGGAGAAGCTGCATTCTCCACTGGCAACTGTTACAGAAAGTGTTAGAAGTATGCGCAGAGCAACAAAAGCATTTGGAAAGCGGGTGGTCATCTTATTTGTGCACATTTATTCCAGAACAACCTTTGAAGTTGATCCTGCTGAAATGTATCTTGAAAGGGCTTTCAGTTCATCACCTAAATCAGTGACATCAATATCGCGCATGTCATCATGTGTCAACACTGTCTCTCGTGCCCTGCATTGCTGGTGTAGGTCTTCTTCAGGGATAGTGAGGCGTTTTGGAATATCATACAATATCCCAAATATACTGCTGTGTTCCTTGAGCTGCATGAAACGTTCTTCAACTGACTGTATTGCACAATCCAGCACCTCATTAAAGAATTCAACTTTGAATTGTTTTTGGGGTCTCTTATGGGATTAACCCGTGCCTCGTAATCAAAATGTCTTCTTCTTCGGTGACTCTTGTATTCTTGAATGGGTGGGAAAATAGCTTCAGTGTGAAGTTCCTCTGCCAACTTCTGTGCACTCTTCAGAACATTTTGAAATCCCTCATCTGACCGGTAAGACTGTAGGTATGACTTTGCTTTGTCCAGTTGTTCCATTGCTCCAGATATATCAAGATCAACACCTTGGAGTCTCTTGCTTACAAACATTTATTTCAAACATATGTCATGCCACAACACTAAGCCACACAGAAATTTGAAGTCATGTATGTTTCTGGTGATTCCATTTCCCTCTGCCACTGTTCTCCCATGAACAGTTCCTGTCATAGCATTATCCTCCATAATGGCAACTATGG